ATGAACAATATTTTTATAAAAAATTATCGAAGATAAATTAGAATAAATAACTTTGCATATATTGCGAAAAATTCTCTGTGCCAATACTTCTGTTCGGCACTGTACATGTATATGTATACAGATATATACATATGTATGTACATACATATATAGATACACATATATTTATTTAATTGTAGTTTTTCTAAGGAAGTAATTAATCTAAAGTAATTGACTTTATTTTTCTCAGTTATATTCGCTTTTAATTACACAAGCAAGTATTCAATACTTTTACTAGCAATTTACCCTACATTGAGATTATTGTTTTTGTTTTTGCAATAAATAACTTAAAAGATAACGCGTCACGTAACTTAGGATTAAGTACTTACATATGAACATACTTTGTAAACAAGTGTAGCTTTAAAAATTATCACATGTCTCGGAAGCTGCGTATCAGCTGCACACAAAGATGGGTCACTGGCTTATCAGAAGATTGCGGTGTAGAACAATAAACTGCGGATTAGAAAGCCAAAAGTATCACAAAGCTGTTACATTGAACCCGACTAAAATATGCATGAAGAGGAATTGATATATGTACATATTTTTTGTAGCTGGTAGCTTTATCTATTTATGGGCTCTTGACTTAAAATTTACATACCTACATATGTATGATATACATATGTAGCACATTTGAGTGAAACTATGATCATTTAATTCAATTCAAAATAAACGAAATAATGAATACAAAAATTCACAATTAATTGAAATTCCACAGTACGCGTGCTCAAATATAAATATGTATACAGAAACATAAACATTAGGATGCATAATTTTTTATTTTATTAATCGATCTTAACAAAATGAAATTTTCAGAATGCCGGAACAATTCATTTGACGTAACAGCAGATAAATGTACCTTAAAAATTAATAAAAGTATATATATTTTCACACTTACTCAAAGCCCTTTTATAGTAGGTACGAGGAGGATTTTGAATTTCGGGGGTTTGAGAAGTTTGACAAAAGTCCAGGTGTATATCTCTCATAATAAGAAGGTAACGGTATTTTATATGGAGCGTTCTTAGAAAGCTCAAATTTCTATAAGAAATACATTACCGGGCACTGTGTGCCCAAGTCCCCAAACTAAGGTGTGTAGCTATGCCACCGTTCTAGGGTTAAGTTATCACCGTAACGTAGAACTATTTTAAAACAACTGTTTTATTGCTGCAAGTACATACAAAGGTGTCACCGAAAAATCTAAAAAGGCGACCGCTAGCTTGAGCTATAAAAAATCTTCTTTTAAAACTGGACTCAGGGCGCTGGCGTTGGTTGGTGTAGGGCGAACTTTTTTTTGCTTGTAAGGTGATATGTATGTTGTTCCTGAAAATGGTGACGCTACTCCTGAGTATGCTGTCATCTGCTGAGGATGCTCAGATGTATTTGATATCGTTGGTCTTAACCTTACAGATCTCGGCCTTAACCTTATAGATCACGGCCTTTTGTAGCTTAGAGGCGTAAAAAAAACAAATCGAGCTGGTGGTGGAAGTGCTAAAGATGAGGGAACTCTTGGAAATAAGCAATCAATTCACGAAACATTTCGCCGTAGCCACTTTTAGCTTCGAAACATTGAAGACCATTTCCCACAATCATTCTCGTTTTTTTATGTCACGGTATGAATGATATATCTATACAAAATGGAAAAGGTTTGGGAATAGGATGTGTGACCCTGATTCCGTAAACGACGAGTATCGATATAGTCAAATAGCACTGACTAAACTAATAAAGATATACATATTTGAAATGGGTCTGAATATCGGGAAAATATTGCAAAAGAGAATGGTAATTGTTGAAAATTTTTTTCGGTTCTAGCTAAACTTAAAAAGCGTTTGTTTATTCATATGTAGTGTTTAAATTTCATTGGGATACTTTCTGAATGTACCTAAAATGGTGTATCGTTACCATATGTATGGCGAGATTAAAATAAAAAAGCCACTTCTCCATCACTGCTGTAAATTACTTTGTTTTTATTAAAAAGAACATTTTTGTTAGGAAATAATAATTTGAAGAAATTTAAATTTGTGAATATGTGAATTTGTGTGCAAATGGTACATTTTTTTAAATAAAATTTTTTTTTTTTTTTTAAATCTTTTAAATGAAAAATTATTAAACAAACATAATAATTTTCTTGAAAGTGCACAAACATTATTTAATTATGGAAGAAAATTGTTAAAATTAAAAAAAAGTAACCCGACTTAATACTATGCACTATACAACGTAGATACATACGCAGTTCACACAATATCACTTGACCGCTAACCACTCAATTGACCGCCAACACCTCTCGCAACACTCTGAAAAATAGATACATAAATACATACGTGCATTAGTATTCCACTGCTGAATTTATTAGCATTCGTATGACAAGTGACAAGTTGCAGTGTGAATCACATATGTAGCTAGCCAGAAGCTGGAACCTGTTAATGACGTAAGCTTCATCTACATTCATATACTGCTATTGTTGTGATCAGACAATAAGCGGTGCTTCACAGGCCAGATGAAAATGAGCAACAAAAAATAAAAAATAAAAGATTTCCAAATAAAAAGCACCGCCGCACTACGCGTTCTATTGCAATTTTTCAGGGGCTTTGGGTTGTGCTTATTTTCATTTTTCCGGTGTATGTAATTTACATATGTAAATTACGTATGCACATAGTTGAAATAAACTAACTTTTGTTATTGTGATTGTCATTTTGTTTTGTTTTCCATTCCGTCCGTTTTGTCCCCCATCCATCCATGTTAACACTTGGGTATTGTTGTTTGGTATTTTTGTCACGCATGCATATACTATTTTCATTTACGCACGTAGTATCTATAGCACCTAGTAGCATATGTATGATTGCATTGCAATAAAGTAAACAATAAATTTTATTTGATCTTCACATTTGGAAAAAAAAAAATTACGTATATGCAGGTCTTGGCAAACTGCTCACACCCGACCTCGAGATCGCTCTACAATTCTGCTCTCACTTGATTTACGGCTATGCCGATATCAACCCAAACACCTATCAGGTGCAGAGTCTGCACGAAGACTTGGACATAAGCAAGCATCAGTATTCCGAGGTCACAGCACTGAAGCGTAAATATCCACATCTCAAAGTATTGCTGAGTGTTGGTGGCGATCAAGATATCGATCCCGAGCATCCCAACAAGTATCTTGAGCTGTTGGAGGGCGAGAAGGTTAAGCAAACTTCATTCATCAACTCAGCCTACTCGCTGGTGCGTTCCTATGGCTTCGACGGCTTGGATTTATCCTTCCAATTTCCGCGCAACAAACCGCGTAAAGTACACTCTGACGTCGGCATGGTGTGGAAGAAATTCAAGAAGCTCTTCACGGGCGATTTCATAGTGGACGAGAAGGCCGAGCAGCACAAGGAAGAGTTCACGGCGTTTGTACGTGATATGAAAAATGCTTTGCGTCCGGACAATATGATGCTGACGCTAACCGTGCTGCCGAATGTCAACTCGTCCTGTAAGTGCACTTGAAAATCTTGTAAATAAGTATGTAAAACTTACTCACACTCCTTGCACAGGGTATTTTGACGTGCCAGCATTGGTTGGCAATTTGGACTTTGTCACGCTGGCAACCTTCGATTTCCTGACACCCGAACGCAATCCGCAAGAGGCCGACTACACTGCGCCACTCTACGAGCTCTACGATCAGAACCGCTTGCCACACTACAACGTCAATTTCCAGGTTGATTATTGGCTTGCGCAGCAGTGTCCGGCCAGCAAAATCAACGTCGGTATTGCCGCCTATGGTCGCGCTTGGAAGCTAACCGCCGATTCAGGCATGACCGGCACACCGGTAGTGCAGGACACAGATGGCCCAGCGCCTGCTGGCATGCAGAGCCAAAAACCAGGTTTACTATCCTGGCCTGAGGTGTGCGCTAAACTGCCGAATCCGGCCAATGCCTATCTGAAGGGCGCCGACGCACCACTGCGCCGCGTAAGCGACCCAACCAAGCGTTATGGCACCTACGCATTCCGACCAGCCGATGGCAATGGCGAACACGGCTTGTGGGTGAGCTACGAAGATCCCGACACGGCTGCCAATAAAGCTGCTTATGTGCACTCGAAGAACTTAGGCGGCTTGGCGTTGTTCGACCTGAGCTACGACGACTTCCGTGGGCTGTGTACTGGGGATAAGTATCCTATTTTGCGCGCAGCCAAGTTCCGTTTGTAACCATCCTCGTTGCTTTTTTCACGAAACTTTGTCGATTTTTGTTTTGCTATATTCCATTATTTTTCCAAATAAACAATAAATTTTTTACATAAAAAAAAGTTTAGCCAATATTTCTGTGTTATCGCCGCGATAATGAGCGTATTTCCAGTGATCTCGCTGAACCTTTAAGGCGTACGCTGATAATTTTGTGAGAAAGCTGTTTTATACGCGCGAGCTTGATTTTCAGCTTGGAAATATTATTTCTATTTCGTTCTGCAAGCTGATTAGACGTCCGAAATGAAACTTATGCTTGTCCTATTAGCTTTTCTAGCGTATTCGTGCTGCGCGTCCGCGTCCATATTGGAACGCAATTTAGTGTGCTTTTACAATTCCAATGCCGCCGTTACATTTTGAATCTCACAAATTTTTTCCTCCACTAACATCTCTCCCACAGGTGCAGCTCACTTTAGCACCGCTGATTTGGAAATTGCTTTACAGTTTTGCACACACGTCATCTACGGCTATGTGGGCATCAAGCCGGACACCTTCCAGCTGATGAGCCTCAATGAAAATCTGGATATACAGCGGCGTCACTTTACCACCATCACAGCGCTCAAAGATAAGTTCCCATACGTGAAATTCCTGCTGAGTGTTGGTGGCGATCGCGACTCTGGTGAACATGAGAAGTATATAAACCTGCTGGAGGCGGGCCGTCAAAAGCAAACAGCCTTCATAGACTCGGCGCGCGACTTCTTGCGTAGCTACAACTTTGATGGCTTGGATTTGGCTTTCCAGCTGCCGCGCAACAAGCCGAGAAAGGTGCATTCGGACGTCGGTTCGGCGTGGAAGAGTTTTAAGAAGTTCTTTACAGGCGACTTCATCGTAGACGAGAAGGCATATGATCACAAGGAAGAGTTGACAGACTTAATTAAGGATCTGAAGAATACGCTGCGTGCGGATAATATGTTGCTGTCATTGACGGTGCTGCCAAATGTCAACTCGAGTTGTAAGCATTAAGAATAGGTTGTTTTCGGAAGCAAGAAAATCGAAGATGCAGGAATAAACGGTAAACTAAAGTTTTATGGCTCGATCGCTCGATCCCTAAAACGGTAAAGCAAATTTATTACACGGAGCGACAATCACAAACCTACATCTTCGCTTGCTTCCATTACTACCCGTCTTTCACTCACTAGCTATGTATTTGCATACACCTCTTCAGGGTACTTCGACGCACCAGCGATCGCCGACATCTTGGACCTCATCAATTTGGCCACCTTCGATTTCCTCACACCTGAACGCAATCCGGAGGAAGCTGATTCCACCGCACCTCTCTACGAGTTGTACGATCAAAATCGTCTGCCACACTACAATATTAACTTCCAAGTCGAGAATTGGATACTGCAACGCGTACCCGGCAACAAGATTAACGTTGGTGTTGCTACCTATGGACGCGCTTGGAAAATGTCTAAAGAGTCCGGTACCGCTGGCTTGCCTGTGGTGCCTGCAACAGAGGGCGCAGCACCTGCTGGTCCAGTGTCGAAGACACCAGGTCTCCTCAATTGGCTCGAAGTTTGCCAACGTCTGCCAAACCCTTCGAATATCAATGCCAAAGGTGCTGAGGCTCCACTACGTCGCATCAGCGATCCCACCAAACGTTATGGCACTTATGCTTTCCACACCGCTGATGAGGATGGCGCTAACGGCGTATGGGTGAGTTATGAGTATCCCGATACGGCCGCTAGCAAGGCGGGTTATGTGAAGGCAAAGAATTTGGGTGGGGTGGCGTTGTTCGATCTCACCTTGGATGACTTCCGTGGCCAGTGTACCGGCGATAAGTTCCCCATGCTGAGAGCTGTTAAATACCGGCTGCTTTAAGTGAATTGGGGGAGGAAATATAAAGAAAATACATATGTAGATGCAGTTTTTGATTTGAGTAATCAATAGTAGGCACAGCGTTATTTAGATACATGCAAGGTACATTGAACAGGTAGTATCAGTAGAGCAGCTGATTTGATTTATTTTCAAATTATTTGGTCTCGAAAATGTCAAATATTTTTAATTTTTTCTCACAAAAATTCTGAATTGTTAAAATTTATTTGCATGTGAAACCTTTTTCCATACAAAACAAGCGATTGAATAGCTGCTTTTGGAACGTTCGCCCAACTCGGCAGCACAACCGCTGATTACTGGGCCTTGCAAAGGATGGATCAATGCTTCGAGAAGCAAACAAATTTACTAGGAAAGAAAGTTGCATCAATTGCTTATGAATTTAGAATTTACTTATTTAAAAATTAAATCCAGAACGCTTACTGGAGGTAAATTTTGTTGTAGTTTTCATTTATTTACAATACACATTCTGTCCCACGTATTTGGCTGAGCTTTTCTTGCAATATCTGGAATTCGCCTTGAAACTATCACAAAAGTCGGAGAACAGGCGATTAAAGCAACCTGTTGGCACCAAATGGCAAACATTTAAGTTCAAACAAACACATAAAAATAAACTTTTCAGTCATTTAGCAAAAGGAAAGGAGCTGTAAGCTCTCGGCTTTGGCGAATAGCAAATTAAAACATAAATTAATTTTCCCGAAATGAAAATAGATAAGTGTGTAAGCACATAAAATGCGGTTTGGAAATCCGATGGTGTAACGGTGGAAATCTGTAAAAATTTTGCGCCGCATGCTTTCCAAGTAGGATACCTCAGACTAGGAATTACCTGAGCCATGTTGACAACGTTTATCTTATCTCACTAAATGAAAGATAAAACTGCACCTTCGGATCTATCCATATTATTATTAATTTATCGTCCGAGTAAAATTTGTATATTTACTTACCTTAGGCCCATCAGCTATTCCTCCTTTGCTATTAAGACATTTGAAAGGATTGTTAGCAGCTTCCTTTCTGTCACCGTCGTCAGACGCCTATTGTGTGGTACTCGCGTACCAAAAAGGTAAATCTACGGAAACCGAACTTCATAGCTTGGTCGCTTATATCGAGAAGTCCCTCAGCGTTAAGAACTTCTGGCTCGTATTTTTATTGGATATTCGAGGCGCGTTCAACTGACGCCGCGAGTACTCACTGATGGAGTTTATCGGTTAGCTACTGCTGCAGAGTAGTTATGGCGAGACTGCAAGCGTGCGATATGTCGGGCATGCGACGAGGGGCTCGCCCCAGCGAGGTGTTCTTTCTCCACTTCTGTGGAAATTAACCTTCAAAACGCGTTTGTGTGGAACGGATTGAGGAGGTGGAAAAGTCGTTGCTTACGCTGATGAAATTGCAATCGCCTTCAGGGAGGATTTTTTTTGCAGACGCTAATTGAACTGATGCAACGAACGCTTCGGGATGTATCCAGGTGGTCGGTCACTCTCTGTGGCGTAAGCGTAAGCTCAAGCAAGGTGGAGCTCGTCCTCTTTACGAGATGGTATAAATGTCTTCGGTTACTCTACCGGAGCATAGCGGCGCCTGGTTAATTCTTGCTACAAAACCCAATTACCTAGGCGTTATTTTAGATAAGAAGCTGAGCTATGGGAAGGCTTCTGTAGCCCTCTATATTCGTGATCGTGTTGAACTTTTTGAGATATTTTCGACAGCCTGTTGATATACATACGTATATTGTTGGCCCACTAGCATCGCCTCTACGTAAAATTAAACGTCTGATAATGTCCTGTAGCAATATAAATGATAACTGATTGCCAGAACAGCTTGATGTGGGATCTTAACTTTATGATAATCTTACATGACCGCCTTAGTCTCTTCAAATAAGAATACATATATATGTATCTATTTATAATTCTACACATTCAATACGTTCGGTATTTTTTATTTTTTTTTAACCGACTTTAAAAAAGGAGGAGGTTATCAGTTCGTCGGAATATTTTTTTTTTTTTATGTATGTTACCGCATAACTTTGGACCACGTCAACCAATTTCGAATTCAGAGGTGGTCCCATACCAATTTGGTTGAGATCCAATCAGTGGATCATGAGATATATATATATATATATATTTTTTATATGGGAGTTGAAGTCGGTTTTTTTTTGCTAAAAATTACTTGTTAATATTATGAATTTTTCTGATGCAACACTGCTCCAGACCCGTTCGCTTTGTTTACACATCCAACTTGGAAAAGGCAAAGCAAAGAAACGGTTGTTTAGACCTATTTCAACGGCATAAGTCAAGACAAATTTCGTGGACAGGCCAAAATCAGACACCGCGGTGCATTGGTAGCTTCTTTTCTTGCCTTCCAAGGCGTCATATGATGTGGATTTGCCAGATATTAATCCGCTCTGATAAAGCAAAATAAGTTTGGTTCGGTTAGGAGGAGGAGCACGAATGACGCATACTTCTACTCGGGGGCAGATTTGGCCATTGTGAATACCCTCTATGAGTGCTAAAAGGAGGTTAATCGATTTGGTTAGTGCCAATAGCTCTTCACTACGTCGCTTATTGGGTCTCGGCCAAAAGTGTCTTGAGATATCACAGTCTTTCCGATTGATCCGTAGGTCATTAGGTGGGGCTGCGAGGTATCTTTCAACCCCCCTTAGCAGAAAACTACACCCAAATAAGTTCATTGACGGTGGCATTTTTCTTTTTACTTAATTACCTCGATAAGACCTTACAGTTAAGTTTTAAATTTAATTTATTATTTACCTTATAATTGTAATTGCTATACTCCTGTAATTAAATGTGCAGTGCTACTAACCTTAAATGCACAGAAATTAATTTCCATCGACAAAACTAATCGAAGTATACCAAGTACAACTGCAAGGGATAAGCAGAACTTAAACACAAAGAAGTTCTAAACAAAATCAAGCAATAATGTAATTAAAGGCGCTACTGACCACATAAGGTAGTCGTTTTTAACGCGATTGCCCAACAGCCAGCAGGCTACTACCAACTAAAGCTTTAATTGCTTGCTTTGAATTGTTGGCGCCCACTGTCTGCGCTGTGAAGCAGTGTACGATTTTTTAATGCCACAAAACAAATTGCTGCTTTAAAAAATTGGCTGCTTTAAAAAATCTCAGCGGCAGCACTCCCCTCTCTTTACACGCCAACACGCCAACCGCTATTGCGCCTTTTGTGTGTTTCTTCGGCTCGTTTTTTTTTTTTTTTGTTTCATTTGCATTGTGGGTGCACTCTCAGCGCGCTGGTACCAGTTTGCATGCCAATCGAAAGCGCGTTGACATGCCACCAGGTAATGCACTCGTACGCGCTTACAAAGCTACTACTTATACCCCTAAGCCTTTTTTTATGTTGTACAGATTTACGTACAGTCTCTTTCGCTGCCCTCGCTAGCGCCGCTGTTTCTTGCATACAACTAAATTAAGTTATTGTTTTCGCTGAGCGCTAGCCTTTGATTTTGCATCTTTGTCCGTTTCATTTGCAATGTGTGTTTGATGTGCTGTTCACGCCAACCTCAGCGTAGGATCAGCGCGATACCTTTTGCTGCGCGCGCTGCGATGCAAAGCTCACGACTGCGCCAAGCGGAGAGGTTTTGCATTCTGATAATGCAGTCCCTAGTTTTGTTTGTTTTGTGTGGCACTTTTATCATTAAGACAATTATTTTAGGGTTAAAAGAGAGTCAGTTATTCAGAACAGGATTTTTATTTTATTTTAGCGATAGGACAATATCGAAAATGTTTAATGTCGTAATGACCCACGTCCTTTGCTTCGGATTCTTAACTTTCGTATACGATAATAGCGTCTAGTCAGCGCCTGCTTCTTCAGGCCCCAATGAAGAAACTGGTCGTTTTTTAGGTTGTCGTGGCGGCTGTGGTGCCCTTTACGCCCGTTGGCGCAAGATACCGATACGGGCCTGGCTTGATGCTAGTTGGTCTCCTTATAGACCCAGCCCAAGCCTATGAGGGCCGAGTGCCAGTCATCCAGTAAATTTAGCAATCAGCCCTGCAATAATTTTGAGGCTTCAGGTGCTTTAGTGGTCGGTTTTATCCGATTAGATTCACTAGAAATTTTTTCCATAGTTCTTTATCTATTCGATACTAATTCCGTCAGAGGCTCCGTCTCTTACCTAACCTGTGCTTTAAAGTAGTGCAGAGAATTTGGTTGGCCTATTCTTGAAACCATTTGATAGGGGGCTCGACTTTCCTTCAAAAATTTTAGGATTGCCGATGTCCATAGAGAAAAACAGGGAAAGGGGGGAACACCGTCGATAACGGCAGGGCGAGTCCATCATTACTACCGGAGGTGAACCAGGCTCCGTAAGAATATATCCGGAAAGCCTCTTAACTGTATACCATCGCTGAATACGAGGAAGGAGTAGTTTCGACACCCATGTGGTCGATATACAAAGAGTTTGTTGAAAACAGGGTCACTTCTTTGGGTATGAGCATCCCCATCGCGCGTTACAAGGCTGATTAATAGGGAGTTCGAGTCTCGACCACCGGATTTTTTTATTTTTTTTTATTTAAATTTTATTTTATTTTTTTATAAAATTTTTAGATTTTATTGTTAAAAAAAATATTTAATTTTTGATTCCACTTCTTCCTTCTTTAATTTAATTATCTTTCTTCTTATTTTCATATTCTTTTTTCTTTTTTAAATTAATGTTTTTATTCTTTTACTATATATATTTTTTTTTAATTTTTAGATTTTATTGTTTGAAAAGAATTTTTTTTAATCTAATTCTTAAAAGCTTTTTTATTTAGTCCTTCTGTCTTTAATTCAATTTACTTCTTAAATTTAATTTTCTTTTAATTTTTAGTTAGTATTTAAATTTTTTTATTTTTTAAGTACTTTTGTAAGATTTGAAAACTTATTGTCAGCTTCGAAAGAAAAATTCCATAAGTAAATACATATTACACAAAAAAGCAAAAAACTGATTGCCAAACGGCGAACAGCATATAGCTAAGGTTCCCGCTAGCAAATCTGTCATTTAGTCCTTCGAAAGGCAGTAAGGAG